AAGAAAGATAACATGATACCGCATATGATGGCCCCTGGGCATGCACTACATGCGCTGCCAACGGCTTTAGGCCAATTCATGAACAATTAATCACTTTGTCTCGACCAACATGACATAACTGAGTATAAACTGACTTATAATGATCAAATAAACATGTATTGCTCGAGAATTCGGATCAAAAACAATATGCTCGCCATAGGCCGTACGCACGGTCGAACATAACTTAAAGCCGTATCATGAACATGACTAAAGCAAACTGAGCTAATATAACTTTAACATGATCAATCAAAGGTAAACCGAAGTTACCTTCTCGAACGATCGGTTAATTTCACTCGGTGCAGTGTGCTTGCCTTGCCGTGTGCGTATGTGCGCTCTCCGTGCGTGGATTTTCCACTTGAACGTGCACCGCGTGCTCTCTTCAGCTCTCAACTCTTCTCACTTACTTATCTTAACTTATGAGTGAAAATATAGGATGAAAATGAAGAAAATTTTATCCCAGCTCCCTCTTAAATATTATGATGACCGAACACATAATATGAAGAGGTGGGAAATAACATTTTAGCCAATGACTAGCTTCCAAGTGCCGTGTCCTAAGACTTAATTGCACAACATCAAGCTTAGTCATCCCTAATAAGGATTAGTCATGAAATGAGCTCCCACATGATGACACGTCAAGGTACTTGAAAGAGGACAATTTTTCCTCAATTTATCCTTAATGCTCACGGCTTTACTTAAAAGAATTGCCAAAATGCTACGGCATTAATTAATAAAGCATGATTAATTAATAATTAAGCATAATTTTTATGCTTAATTAATTACCAAGCATGACACTTAATTTCCGAAATTATTCCGAACGTAAACGTGACGTCAAAAATAATTTTGGGTAATCTCGACTGAAATAATTAATTCTGAAAAAAAATAATCGATAACATTATTATATCGGAACTAATTACATAACTTATATTATTAACATGACGGGATATTACAATCCTCCCTCCTTAAAAATTTCCGTCCTCGGAAATTCAACTGAATATACTTGAACTATATACATTAAACATGAGAATATATACATCAGAACTAAAAATCGGGAAAACGAGCTCGAATGTCAACCTCCGACTCCCAAGTAGTTCCGTGGCGATCCCACTGAATACGAACGAGTGGAACATCTCGCTTCCGGAGCTGACGAACCTGACGGTCCAGTACAGCTACCGGTCGCTCCTCGTACGATAAGTCTGGCTGAATCTGAATATCTGTATGGGGAATGACATGATCGGGGTCGCACACGTATTTACGCAACATGGATGCGTGAAAAACGTTATGAACGCTGGATAACTCGGGAGGTAAGGCTAATCGATACGCGACTTCGCCCACTCGCTCGAGAACTTCGAACGGGCCAATGAATCGAGGGTGCAGTTTCTCTTTTCCTGAATCGAACAATTCCGCGAATTGGACGAACTCTAAGAAAAGCTGGCTTGCCAATCTCGAACTGAATATCTCGTCGATGATGATCGGCTGAGGATTTCTATCGACTCTGAGCGGTCTTGAGTCTCTGTCGGATCAACTCGACCTGATCTGCGGTCTCCTCGATCATCTTCGGACCGAGTACTCGACGCTCGCCGACGTCGTCCCAATAAAGAGGAGAACGACACTTACGACCGTAAAGTGCCTCGTAAGGAGCCATCTGAATAGAAGAATGGTAACTGTTGTTGTACGCGAACTCAACGTACGGCAACAACGACTCCCACTTAGCACCCCAGTCAATAACCAAAGCTCGCAACATATCCTCTAACGTCTGAATGGTCCGCTCAGACTGACCATCAGTCTCCAGATGGTAGGCTGAACTGAACTCTAGCTTCGTACCCATCGCCTCGTGTAAACTCTGCCAGAATCTACTGACGAATCTAGGATCTCTGTAACACGATAGTGACGGGCACTCCGTGAAGTCGAATGATCCCACGGGTATAAATCTCAGCCAACTTATCCAAAGACATCTTCATCGAAACTGGTAAGAAATGAGCAACCTTAGTCAATCTGTCGACCACGACCCAAATCGCATCGTGATGTTCAGACAACCTCGGTAACCCCGTGACGAAATCCATCGCGACTTCCTCCCACTTCCACTTCGGAATAGGTAGTGGTTGCAGGAGGCCTATCGGACTCTTATGTTCGGCTTTGACTTGCTGACAGGTAAAACATCTCCTGACAAAATCGGCAACGTCTTTCTTCATCCCTCGCCACCAGAACGACCCTTTCAAGTCATGATACATCTTCGTGCTTCCGAGATGAGCTAGGTATGGTGCGGTATGAGCCTCTGTCAATATCTCCTTCCGCAACGCCTCGACTTTTGGCACTACGATCCTGTCTCTGAACTCTAAGGCACCATCAGCACCTCTCTGAAAACCCTCGATGCCTCCGCGCGGACTTTGGCATCCATGACAAGAACAAACTTGTCAGAAGCCTGCTCCTGTCGGATTCTCTCTCTCAACGTCGGCTGAATCTGCATGGCACTGACACTCCCCGAAATGGTTGTGGGAAGTGCATCGACCACCTGAATCTGCATCAGGGCGAATTCCTGAATCAACTGGCTCTTCTGAGTAACGACGTACGTCAAGTCACCCCTCACCTTGCGGCTTAGGGCGTCAGCAACAACGTTCGTCTTTTCCGGATGATATTGAATCGAGCAATCGTAATCTTTAACGAGCTCGAGCCAACGGTGCTGTCTCATGTTGAGCTCCTTCTGAGTGAAAATTTACTGCAAGCTCTTATGATCTATGAAAATCTCGCATCAACCGCCGTAAAGATAATGTCGCCAAATCTTGAGAGCATGAACAATTGCAGCTAACTCCAAGTCGTGCGTCGGATAGTTCTGCTCGTGCGGCTTGAGCTGGCGTGAGGCATACGCAACGACCTGGCCATCCTGCATGAGTACACATCCCAAACCTTGTTTTGAAGCATCACAGAAAATGGTGAAACTCCAAGAAGGATCGGAAATAGTCAACACCGGTGCTGAAGTTAATCTCTTCTTGAGCTCCTGAAAGCTCGACTCACATCGATCAGTCCACTCGAACTTCATAGACTTCCTCGTCAGCTGGGACAGTGGGAGGGCAATCTTGGAAAAGCTCTCGATAAACCTGCGGTAATGGCCAGCTAAACCGAGAAAACTGCGAACCTCGGATGGACTCTTCGGTGTCGACCAGTTCTGAACAGCTGAGACCTTGGAAGGATCTACCTCGATACCTGCATGAGTAATGACATGGCCAAGAAAGGCTACTCGCTGGAGCCAGAATTCACATTTGAAAAATTTTGCATATAATTTTTCTCGTCTAAGGGTTTTGAGAACCACCCTCAGATGCTCCTCGTGCTCCTTCTGGCTCTTTGAGTAGATAAGAATATCGTCAATGAAAACAATAACGAAATGATCAAGGTAGGGATGGAAAATACGGTTCATCAGGTCCATGAAAACCGCTGGAGCATTACTGAGGCTGAATGGCATGGGACAAACTCGTAATGGCCGTAACGAGTACGGAAAGCGGTCTTAGCAATATCTGATTCCTTGATTTTCAGCTGGTGGTAGCCTGATCGCAAATCAATCTTTGAGAAGACACAGGCTCCCCTCAGCTGATCAAATAAATCGTCGATCCTGGGAAGCGGATACTTGTTCTTGATCGTCAACCGGTTGAGGTCCCAGTAGTCGATACACATGCACATGGAACCGTCCTTCTTCTTGACAACGAGAACAGGTGCTCCCCAAGGTGACACGCTCGGCCGAATGAAACCGAGTCGTAATAACTCCTTAATTTGTTCCTTAAGCTCCTGCAACTCCTTCGGCGCCATACGGTACGGGGCTTTGGATATTGGGCCGGCTCCTGGAATGAGATCGATAGAGAACTCTACCTGCCGGTTAGGTGGTCCTCCTGGAAGTTCGTATGGGAACACGTCCACAAACTCACGAACAACGGGAACATCGTGAGGTGATCGTGCTTTCTGAGAATCATCGACAAGGCTCACGAGATAACCCTGACAGTTGCCTCGTCGCAGCATCTTGGTGGCTTTCGCCATCGAAACGACATGAGGTAAAGAACGAAACTTGGTGCCAAAGAAAGTAATCAAATCGTCTCCCGGAAGATAAAGAGTAATCTCCCGGTCATGGCATCGAATGTCAGCATGATAATAGGATAGCCAATCCATACCGAGAATGAGGTCAAAATCCCTCATCTCGAGAACATACGCGTTGGTAGACAATAAACGACCACCGATGGAAAGGCTGAGATCTGAAGCTTTAGCTATAGTCACTATCTTTTGTCCCGAGGCTAAACTCACCTTGAGAGGATCGACAGCGGTAATGGCATTAACTCCGATGGCATCAAGACATCGTCGTGAAATAAAAGAATGCGTCGCTCTAGTATCGAATAAAGCGAAAACAGGAACATCATTAAGTATAAGCATCCCTGACATGGTACCTGGCTGCTGCTCTGCCTCTGCCTGATCAACTGCATAGACTCGGGCCTGCTGTCTGCCCCTCTGCTGCTGCTGCTGGGGCGGCCTCTGAACCTGCTGACGGGGCTGCTGCGGCTGCTGCTGAGGCTGTTGTGCCTTCTTTGGACAGCGGTTATCAAAGTGTCTGAGCTCGTAACAGTAATAACATATATCCTGGCCAAAGCGACACTCGTCGCGGTGAAGTCGTCCGCAAGTGGGGCACGATGGAACATGTTGTTGCCTCTGGCGGGTCCTCCTATCAGTCTGGGCACCCTTCCCTTTCCTCTTCTTATCCTTCGTCAGTTGGGCAGCTGGTGGAACTGTGGATGACTGGGCGGGGCGGATGGTTGAGAACGATCGCGGCTGGCCTCCCTCCGGATGCTGGCGTCCACCTCCTGAGCAATCGAAACAGCACGAGCATAGGTCTGGGTCCCGTGACCTACAATGTTATGACGGACTGTTGGGTAAAGCCCGTCGATGAAACTCTGTGCCCTCTATGCCTCTATACGAACCAAGTCCGGAACAAATGCTGCAAGTTTAGTAAACTCCCTCTCGTACTCATCAACAGAACGAGTACCCTGCTTGAGCGACAGAAACTGATGCTCCATCTCTGCTCTATAATAAGTGGGATAGTACTTCTCGCGAATTAGCTCCTTGAGCCTCTCCCAGGTACAACCCTCTTTCTCACCGGGACGCATGCTCCAGTAGGCATTCCACTAAAGTCGGGCATCAACGGTTAGCTGAAGTTGTGCGCATATAACGCGATATCGATCTGGACAATCCATGACCTCGAAGATCAACTCAAGGCCCTGAATCCACTCGTCCACGATACGAGGATCTCCCTAACCGGAGAATTTCTCAGGATGATAGTCGTGGAACTGTGCGACTATAGTGGCCTGGGGAAGAACCGGGTGATCGGGTTCCCTACGGTGCGGCATCTGAACATTGAGGAAGTTCAGTATTATTGAACATATGAAAAGTACTTTAATTGATAACTAAAGTACACAAATCTCTTGACGAGTTGCCAAACATGGCTGAAAAATACTGACTTGAATTCTGAGGAAATCTAGAGTTATATCTGAGTACATTGATCTATAAGTTCTGAACCTGATTCGAGCATCTTAACTAAGTCATGATTAATAAATTTTTTAGCATAGACAAAGTAATTTGTTTATAACTTAAAACATAAATCAACACTTACCTGTAGTCGGCGAGGCGTGAGCGTGACGGTTCAGGTTTCTGCAAAATTTCTGACTTGTGAAAACTTTCAGAGACACAGAAACGTGCTCTGATACCAATTGTAACACCCGCTATTTCATGAATTTCAGAGTGCGCTTTTCGCAAATTTTCTACATAAAATAAATAAAATATTTCTTTTGCGAAATCTGATTCGGGGTGCTACCGTAAAATTTGACTTATTCTGAAAACCGTTAATTTTTTAGTTTAATAATAAAACGGTTATATAATATATTAACTGACTAACGTCGGGTCAAAATCTGGTTTAGAGTACTGAAAACGGTAGCGGAATCATAGCGTAGCCAAACATAATATACACATATAAACAAAATGTCCTGAACTGGTCGCCCGCTCACTCCTCGGCTCCGACTCTGTGACCTGAAAAACATGAATAACGTGGAGGCATGAGCACTAATCCACTGTGCTCCGCAGAAACTCATACTAAAGTAAACTGTAACACCCCGCTATTTTAAATACATCAGAGTGCGCGATTTTTCGCAAATTTTCTGAATAATTAAATAAAATACTTATTTTTTTGCGAAAACTGATCAGGATGCTACCGTGAAAACTTTATTTTCTGAAAACCGTTAAAATTTTAAACTGATAAATAAAAAAAGGTCATAATGTCTTATCCGACAAACATCGGAACAAAGTCTGATAAATAATACTGATAAGTTTTAGCGGAAGTCTAGCGTGGTTAAACAAAAAATACAACAATCATAAATGCCCTGAACAGCTCGCCCGCTCACTCCTCGTCTCCG